CACCCCCCCCACCAAATTTCATTTCTCTCTCTCCTTCTCTACCCGTGTTATTTGCATATTTGCATATTCAAATACACAGATTCATTCCACTGCTGCAACTTTCTCATGAATATTTCACATCCTGAAATCCTGGAAAATCATTTTTATTTTATTTACAGCTTCATTTTCTATCTTCAGTTCATTGTTTTAATTTCTAAGAACATTCATTTGTTTTTCTGAGTTTTCTCCCATTTCTTTGAATTTGTTTATCATTGAAGTTCTTAATTCTGTATTTGACAGAGCGAACATAGCTTCTATGTCCATGAATTGGAGTTCTGGAGACTTTTTCTCTGTGTGCCTTGTACTATTTGTTCAAAGACTCATGTTGCCATTTGTTAAGTTGTTCTTCCTGTCCACTGTTGGCTTGGGAGCCCTGCTGGTATATGGGGAGGGGGTGGTTCTGAGCAGGGCTCCTCTCCTCCTGCTCAGGGATTGAGCTTCTGGTGGGGCCCCACAGGCACCTGTGAGGCCTCTGGACACTCTGGCTCACTCCCTGATACTCCTCACAGCCTGGAGTCTCACCAGGCTGTGCAGTGGGGATCTCCTGTGAAATCACACTGCCACTGTAGGTTCAGGCAGGCTCTAGTGGGGTCCCGTAAAGTAACACGAGGCGTCTACTGGCCTGGGTGGGCACTGCCTTGGCTTTGTGGGAGGTTGCAAGACCCTCTGCTGGTCTGGGTAGGGGCTAGAGGGTTCTCACAACAGTTTTGGCTGCTTTGGCACCCTTCTCAACATGGGTCAGTATGGTCAGGGGCTGGAGGGTCACATGGGAGGTCATGAGGTCTGTGGCCACTCTGGCACACTCCCCAACAAGGGTCAGGGTCTCACTGATCCAGACTGGGGCTGGTGGAATCTCTTCTCCTGCATATTTTTTAAAAAGATTTATTTATTTATGCATACAGAGCTGGGGTAAAGCCAGAGGTGCAGGGGCAGTGAAAGGATTCACCAGAAACAGAGTGTGGAGCAGAACAGGCAGATTGATGAGATACACTGCTGAGGGGAGCAGCAGGCGGGTCAGGAGAGGTCTGCTGCGACATGTGGGTCACCTCCGGGGCAGGGTTCGAACTCACGGTAAAGTGGTTTTAGCTTCTTAGTGTTGTGCTTTAACCTGCTATGCCACCAGGGAGGGCACCCCTCCTGCATATTTCAAATCATATTACCTTTAATACCTAAGATAATATAATGGCACTTAAATAGTTGCTACAGTTATTGTCTAGAGAATAATGAAAGGAATAAAGCTTATCCATGTTCAGTACAGGCACAGCCATCACAGGCCTAACTGCACAGTATGGATTTTTGATCTGCAGTTGACTGATGCAGTATGAGGCTTCTGCAAAATGCAAGGGCCGTAGTGTCTGCATAAGCGGCTTTAAGGAAGTGAAACCTTATAACAGCCACACAAAGACCATAAGTTTCTTGAGGAGTTTATGTCAGCAGAAACTGATATCTCAGTCTGACAGCAGCAGAGAAAATACAAAATGGAAGATGGCCCTTCAGGCTTCTATGAAAACAAGCTGACAGAACAATTTAGGTACAAGGTGCACTTTCCATAAAAAGGGCATAAGTGCCCCTAAATAATATTTCTTCATGATTTTTATGGTGTCTCCATCATTTCAAATGAATTTAGAACAATGTTTTGAAATCCTTTTTTCAAATACAGTTACAGTGATTGCATTTGTAATTCACAGTATTATCAATTAATTTAGGCCTAAATGACCTATACAGAAAAATGTAGAACTTCGAATGTGCTCATAGATTTTT